GATGCAGAAGCATTGGTCTATCTAGACTTTTCCTAGGATTGGGGTCCCAGTTAATCCAAGAGAGAAGGTGTCTTTTATTGAATGATCTGAACAGCTGCCTATAATTCTTCTGCTCTGTAGTTAGCTTTTCTTTCTGTCCTTGCTTACCCTGACCCCTGATCCTTGACCCTCAATGGTCCACACCCTTGCTGACCTCCTCTGGGTCACTGGCCTCTGGAGACTTCCTCTCCTGCCAGCAGGAAACCTCCTTCACAACAGAGTGAGTGAGCCCCTAGTGACTCAGAGGTCAAAGAAACCCTGTAGATATTACAAATTTGCATTTGGGGGAAGGGCCTCCAACAATCTCCCATGATAGTACATTTAGTTTTGGATCTAGACACAGGAGAATAGTATAAGCATCCAGGGTTCCAGCCATGCTCCTCAGTGATGATTGAGTCAATGAGTCTCCTGCTTAGACATCTACTCATCTCTGCCCAGATGTTGCTCACAAACACTGTGCCCCAGACTGAATTCCCCTTATCCCCTAAACCCAGCAACTTGGTCAATATCATCTACTATAGTAATGTCATCATCATCCACCTATCATCTGAGCTAAAAGTATTAACTCTGCTCTTTCCTGGTTTCTATATCTAGCCAAATGCTAATATTGTGCTTTGTATCTACTAAATACTTCTTGAATCTCCCTGTTGTCACCACTCCCAATCACTGCCCCAGTTAATGTTCTTTTCCTCACTTGTGGAAAGTGTTTCCCTATCTCTTTAGTCCCTGTCCTCCTGCCCCCAATTTCCCTCCACCTTAAGATGCAAATTTGCCCAGAAGGATCAACCTAAGATGCAAATTTGACCATGTCAGACCTTTAAAGTCCTAAGTACCTTCTCATCCCCTACAGGAGAAAGACCTACCTCCACAGGATTCCCAAAAAGACCAACCACAGATCCAGCCCTGCCTTCCTCTCCATCAGCAACACCTGCCTCTTCATACTGCGGTAACACTGCACTGCTACTGATCACTCCCCACCCCCGGGCTCTTCTCATTTCTTTGCCTTTATTTATGCAGCCCCTTCTGCCTGGGGTACTTCCCCACTCTCCTTCATCAGGAAAACTGCCACTCATCTATTCCAGTGGTATGCTGGTAAATGTTTACACCTGGATCGCCAGAACAAACAAACAAACAAACAACAGATGAAGGTCAAGTGAAGACTGAGGAACAATAGGGTGGGTTGATTCATGGGGCCTAATACAATGAGCTGAAATTTTAAAGGGAAAGCATGTCTTTCACGAAGACCTTCCAAAAATCACTGTATAAGCACAGGCTTGGAGTGATGAGGCTTGGATATATCATAGCAGAAAAGACTTGGGGGTCTGATGAGTCTTGTAATCAGTGACCAGCAAGCTGCTCAACTCTGTGAATGGGATTAGAGTGTTCAGGGAAAGGCAAGAAGGAAGGAAGAAAGAGAGAAAAGGAGGTAAGGAGAGAGGAAGCAGGCAGCAAACCTCCCTAGTGCCTTCGTCATAATTGGATCTTGGGGATGTTATCTCAGAAGAATACAAAGTGAGTACAACTTACTTTCCAAACTTTAAATGACTTGAGAGACTGAAATGGTCCCAGAGAAAAGACTGGAATTTAAATTATCTTCTGAGGTCACTGTCACTCTTTTGGGGAATGTGCCTTGAGCACACAAGGCAAGTGGAGAGGCGAGGACTGGCTGGACCCTTCACCTGCCACACATGCTGAACCTTCACCCTTAGGAAACAAACCACTGTTGCTCACTATTTTTCTGATAAAGGTAAGCACAGGTTTTGATCATACCAAAATCTTCCTTAGCACAGCTGCATTTCTGCCATCAGACTTGATGGTAATAGAATGTGAGCCTGAGAAGGGGAGAGGGGAAGCCCTTTCATTGGTATAACGTTAATGTCATGGAGTCAAATAGACCCATCAAACTGCAAGAACCTCTAAGGTCACCTGACCTCACCCCGATCTGTGCAAAGGGGAAAGGCTTGCCCAGGAGCCCATAGCTCATGGCCTTCTCCCCATACAGTTGTCCCTTCTTGATTAAAAATGGGGACTCCTTCTCCTTTTGCACTTAAGAATCCAAAGCCTGGCAATAATAAGGAGCCATATTTCTGGATCTGATGAAGACATGGGGGGAATATTTTTCTTACATGGTCCAGGTTCTTGGGCAAGGCTGAAGGGCTGACCAACAGAGTGAAAACCAACCTGAGACTGACTTTATTGCCTGAGAACATGCATCACAGGTAGCAGTGTGTCCTGGACACCTGAGCCCAGTGTGTCCTAGACAATTTGAGGATTCAAGCTGGAGACTGTTCTCGGTAACGACCAGCTTTTGTAATCAATTTCTGGGTAGTACACGTGCCTCTAAGAGATATATTGATTTTTGAAGGCCCTGGGAGGAAAATAGAGGCTACGCTTGTTTATCTTCATGCTGAAGTCACACTGTTTCTGGGTATTTGGAGGGCTTTCTGTGGAAGAGGGATTAAAGCTGCAAAGGAGCAGATTTTAGCTCAGCATCAAAGGGGAACTACTTAAAAGAGCCTTGCCAGGAAGTTCACCATCACACCTCACATCACTCAGGGAGTCAGGCCAGGCTGGAGGACTGTGAGGAATGCAGTAAGAGGCCTTCTACTTTGGAAAGGGAGCGGATTGCTAAATAGACCCTAAGGCCTATTGTCAGTAGTGTTAGAGTGATTATTATAGTTGATGATGATGATGATGATGATGGCTATGACAATGATAGTGATGTAATTACTTAGGTAATTAATTACGGTGATCACCACTTCCCCAGACTACCCCCAACACCCACCATCATCCCTCTCCCACTGCTAGATTTTGAGCTCTTTGAGGTTGGGGCTATGCCTTTCATTGCTGTGATCCTGGCCCCTAGAATTATGCCTGGCCCAGAACAGATGCTCAATATATGTCTGTCAACATGAATTAAATTATTATGGCACTGATTTGGTAATAGCTATAGCCCTAAGCACCAACAGGGGAGTGTCTCAGCTCCCCAGGAAGGAAGTTCCACTGCACAGCAGGGAAGGGGCCAGGTGACTGAGAGCACTTGGAACTAAGGACATCTGGGAAGTTCATGAGTATTTTAGATACAGAGCAAATAAAACTGGATTCCCAACACCTTCACTGTTGCCTGCAAATTTTCTACTGGTCCAGAGTATACCCCAGTTTGGGGAGCACTTAGCAGTCCCAGAAAGAAGAGCTGATGGAGCAGGACTCAAGGCTCTGTGAACAGCCTCAGGAAGAAAGCGGTGCCTCTGGCGCAGGCAGATGGACAATGAGGAGAAGGATGGACGTTCAGTCAGAATGCTCCTTCAACTTGGCCACAGTGCACGCAAGGCCCACTTGCTGCCCTAAATGTGCAAAAGGATCAGTAGCATGTTCAGACCTTAGCACTGTGGACGGCGTTAATTCTCTCAACAGGTGACACCACAGCAGAGGTGCCTGTGGCTCCCACCCGCCCCAAGGAAACAGACACTTGAGTTCCTGGGTTTTCCTGTGGACTGTCTTTTTAAAAATTCTTTTAATGAAATTTATTGGGTGACATACTGGTTAATGAAGTTAGATAGGTTTCAAGTGGACAATTCTATAATACATCATCTGTATATTACATTGTGTGTTTACCACCCAACGTCAGATCTCCTCCTGTCACCATATTGACCCCCTTTACCCATTGTTACTGCCCCCCATTCCCTTTCCTCTCTGGCAACCACCACACTGTTGTCTGCGTCTGTGAGTTTTTGTCTGTTTGTCTTGTTTGTTCATTTGTTTCATTCAGTTTTATAACCCACATATGAGTGAAATCATATGGCTCTTGACTTTTTCTGTCTGACTTATTTTGCTGCCTCAGCATGATATTCTCAAATCTATCCACTTTGTCACAGAAGGCAGTATTTCATCTTTTCTTAGGGTTGAGTAGTATTCCATTGTATGTATGTACCACATCTTCTTTATTCAGTCATCTATTGAAGGGCACCATGGTTGTTTCCATGCCTTGACCGCTGGGCATAATGCAGCGGAGCGGGCCGGTTTGACCAGTGCGGCCTGGGTGCTCTGCTCCAGGGCCCACACATGGCGACAGGTCCGGCCACGGCAGCACCTTCGCGAGCCTCCCCCCCCCCGCCCCGTCCTCAGTTTGAGTCACTCTACTGATTTCCGTTTATGTTGTCCCGTCACCAGTGTGCCTCATCTTTTTAATGTGCACCAGATGTTGGGTTGGCAAAATTATTTGTGGAAATGATTTAGAGACTGTGGTGATGTTACCTTCCTCCAGAGTGAATTCATGTTTGCTTCCGTTAGATATTTTGGAGCCCCCAAAATCTGGGCCAATCCCAGTTGGATTTCAGGGTCTGGGAGGATTTGAAGCCAGCTATAAAACCTGTAAATGTGTGTTTTCTTCTGACTCACTCTCATCCTTATGGTGCTGCCTTGGTGGGGGCGGGGTTCCCCTCCCAACAGGAGGAAGTTTAGTTAGGAACATCTTCACCATGGGCCTTGCACTTCAAAACCTGTTCCCTTCCTCCAGGAGGCTGGCAGTAGTGCCTCTTGGCCTCTCAGTGGTCACCTCCAGAAGCTGCAAATGCCCCAGCTGAAACAGCTTCAATGCTGGTCTGTCCTCTCTGAGTTCCTGTTATATCCTAGAATTATATCCTTATAATTCCTTGTTGTTTTAGTATTACCTTGCCAATGCTTTACACAGATGTTTTATATAGTTTGTCCAGTTTTTATAATTTCCATCTGCAGGAGAGTTAATCCAAATTAACTTGTTTTTTTCTTACTGGAAACAGAAGTTAAATATTGATCTCTACTACCTTTTCCCTAGAATCCTGTAGAGATGACCCAATTGTCTGAGCTATTTTCCAGTTGCTCCACAGGGCGGGGATTTTTGCCTGGCTGCCTAGGCACATGTGAGGTCACAGAGTGCTGAGGTTGATCTTCTCAGTTACTGCAAGTGACAGAGTGGACACAACATGAGCAGGTCCAATCAGACCACCCCTGTGGCAGGGTTCATTCTGCTGGGCCTCTCAGCCCACCCGAAGCTGGAGAAAACGTTCTTTGTGCTCATCCTGCTGATGTACCTGGTGACCCTGCTGGGCAATGGGGTCCTCATCCTGGTGACCGTCTTTCATGCCCGCCTGCACACGCCCATGTACTTCTTCCTGGGGAACCTCTCCTTCCTGGACATCTGCTACACAACCTCCTCAGTCCCCCTCATCCTTGACAGCTTCCTGACCCCTAGGAAAACCATCCCCTTCTCAGCCTGTGCCGTGCAGATGTTCCTCTCCTTTGCTATGGGAGCCACAGAGTGTGTGCTCCTGAGCATGATGGCGTTTGATCGCTATGTGGCCATCTGCAAGCCCCTGAGGTACCCCGTGGTCATGAGCAAGGCCGCCTACGTGCCCATGGCTGCTGGCTCTTGGGCAGCTGGTATCACCAACTCAGTAGTTCAGACCTCCCAGGCCATGAGGCTGCCCTTCTGTGGGGACAACATCATCAACCACTTTACCTGTGAGATCCTGGCTGTCCTGAAGTTGGCCTGTGCTGACATCTCCATCAATGTGATCAGCATGGTTGTGGCCAACATGATCTTTCTTGCAATCCCAGTCCTGTTCATTTTTGTCTCCTATGTGTTTATCATTGCTACCATCCTGAGGATCCCGTCAGCTGAGGGGAGGAAAAAGGCCTTCTCCACCTGCTCTGCCCACCTCACCGTCGTGGTCGTCTTCTACGGGACCATCCTCTTCATGTATGGGAAGCCCAAATCCAAGGACCCACTGGGAGCAGACAAGGAGGACCTTTCAGACAAACTCATCTCCCTCTTTTATGGGGTGGTGACCCCCATGCTCAACCCCATCATCTACAGCCTCAGGAACAAGGACGTGAAGGCTGCTGTGAGGAACTTGGTACATCAGAAACATCTAACTAAGTGACTGTCACAGATTCCCAGGCTGTCAGAATGCAAGACCTTAAACTCTTCGTTGTACTTGGGGGAAAATGGTAGCCCCGGGAGGTGCTTGGGCTGTCAGCGGAAAGAGCCTTTTCATTTCTGGCACTGCTGATGAGTGTGCTGGCTTCAGACAAAACTACACTGTGTCATATTACCTATTTTGCTGCCCAGATCTTCAGTCTTCTGATACTAGAACTTGATGGATATTTATAAAGAGTAAATGTAGTAAAAACAAAAACACAAACATTTGAGTGGTACGGGGCCTTAGACTACGTTGTCTTTCCCTGTGTAGAATTGCTGCTTACTCAGTTCTGCTCTGGTCTCCTTCCAGAGACTTTTGCTGTATCTGATGAAGGGATAAATTGGGAAATGTCACTTGCTTCAACATGTAACAGTGATCATTAGCACCACGACAGGAATGCCACTCACATATTAGCACTAGAAATAGCAGGACTTATCTCGAGCAGCTGCTTTGTTTTTGTCTAACGGAACCTTGCCATTCACCACATTTTCCTCTTTATCATCACTGCAGGGATGCTCGGAGGCAGACTCGCCACCTCTCGGTCAGTGGAGCACTGCCTGACTGAGTGCCAGCAGCTCCCAAACTTTCATCCACGCAACCGATGTGGCGCGTGGATGGCAGTTACATACGCCCAGCGCACACTCCATAAATAGGCCCACTCTGTGATGAAACCCCCAAAATATTGTGGGGAAGCAAATGCAAAAATCATTCTTAATTCCATAGTTAGTGAGAGGCCAGCAGTAAGAGTTACTCTCTACCACTAGTGGCCATGGGAACAGCGTAGCTCTCAGAGCTCTGTCTGTGGCTCTCTCCGACATTCAAGGGATGTATCGGAATAGTGCATATTTAGTGTATGACAGAGTTTATTTTTAATCTGCTTAAATTTATATTTATAAAAGTTAGCTATCACTAAACTTTGGTCCTTTAACTATTATTAGTATATAGCAACTTATTTTCTCTTTATCTTTCCTCTCCCTTCCTCTCCCCCATGTTAAGTCAGCTCCCTCCCCTTACTGGTTGATAGCTGCCTCCAAAATTGTATTCATTTTCTATTGCTGTATAAAGTCTATATATTTATAACTTATTTGAATTGAAAGAGTAGAAGTTTGGAATCTGTATTACCTACAAGGTAATTGTATTAACTCCAATATCAGGAAAATCTTTGTATTGAAAATGGCAGCTCTTTTAAGGATGGTGTACAGGGTCGGGGCAAAAGTAGGTTTACGGTTTATGAGTACATAAAACAGTTTATTCTTAATTATTGTATTCTTTCCCACATAAACAACTATAAGCTTACTTTTGCCCCACCCTGTATATATGTGTGTGCATATGAGTGTGTTTGTATGTGGTTTTATAACTGGTATGGGAAAAGATTAAGAATAATAAAATAATTTATGGCTGCCTGATTTAAGCTTTCTCCCACAATTTACTAACATAACTCAGTTATTTCCTGTATACAGACTTTTATTCCAATCAGTTATTTCCCACATTTTGACTTCCTGCTATGAAAAGAATACATAAATAAACCAAAATCTGTAACAACCACGTCTGATAAACTAGCATCCAAAAATGTTATCAAATATTTCCTCTCCACAAAAGGAACGCATTGGCACCACACTGCATACTAACCACTATTATAACTGAGAAAAATATTTTAAATTGCCTCCCCTGCTTTTATTTACCCAAGTACATTTGTGTAACCCTTGGCTAAGTAATCTGAAGAAGTTTTAATCTAGCTCTGATTAGTCAAAGATTATAACGTGACCATTATCACCAGCATGTCAGTTTTAGCTGTCAGAATAAGATGTCTCTGAGTGGGAAGCTGTGGTCTTCTTCCATTTTTCTTCAACCAGCTGACTCCAATCTCCTTCTGCCATTTACATAAACACTGTTATAGGAAGGCCAACGGTCATACTCTATCCCTCATTCTGGATTTGTTACCAGTCTTGTTTTTTACAATCCAAGGCATACTCTTTCTTTGGCACTGCCTCACAGTCTATGGGTATGATTCCATTTCTTGCTCCACACTTGGTGCAGAATCTGCACTGTTCACATCACAGTCATAGATTCATTCAGCTTTTCCTTTGGTCTTCACACTCAGAAAGTTCTCCTCTTGTTCTGTTTTGTCTGAATTTATCACTTACACCATGAAGTTTTAGGAAGATGCACTTGAAAGAGCATCCGAGTTGTTTATACTTTTTTTGAGTTAGTTTCTCAGTTTTCTGGGATCATTGGAGATCAGTTTTTGCTCGATACAACCAATATCCCTGCTGCCCACCCCCAGACGTTGCGTACTGCTTTTGCTGCATCCCATAAGTTTTGGTGTATCCCAGGTTTTGTTTATTTTTTAAAACATTGATGTATTTTCTAATTTCCTTTTCGATTTCTTCTTTGACCCAATGGGTGGTCGTGAATATGTGGTTTAATTTCCACGTATTCGTGAATTTTTCAATTTTCCTTCTATTATTGATTTCTAAGTTTCATTCCATTGTGATCAGAAAATATACTTGGCATGAATTCATTCATACTTAAATTTGTTTGCACTTGTTTTATAATTTAATATCTGACCTACCTGGAGAAAGTTCCATGTGTGCTTAAAAGGAGTATATATTCTGCTGCTTTGGGATGGAATTTTCTGTACCAAACGAAAGTCCCGGGGGCCCTGACTCTGGGAAATCCCTAGGAGGGGAGAGCGCCTCTTAGTGATTGAGACAGACTAGTACCATCAGCCTGGTGAGATGGAGGCTTGATGTCAGATATAATTTGATTAAAGAAAATAAATACATAAATATTTTTTTGGCACCTCTGAGTTATGTCCTGGATTCAAACCTTCCCTGGGTAAGTCGTGTCACGTTTCAACTCCGCAGCTGGTATTGTCTACATTTTGAGGTGACTCTTAACTGCTCTCTGGTTTTGTAATTTTATAATTTTTCTACTTTTTACATATATATTTTATTGATTATGCTATTACAGTTGTCCCAATTTTCCCCCTTTGCCCCTGCCACCTAGAACCCCCCACTCCCTCCAGCAATCACCCCCCCTTAGTGCACGTTCATAGGGACTTAACCTTCCAGGCCCTGGAACTGGGTGGTCTGGTGTGGTGTTGAGATCCCTCGCTTCCAATTTACCCACCACTTGTGAGTGTGCAACCGGCCTGTTGCGCGAGTCTGTGTCACTGCCCTTCTCACCTGTCTGAATAGATGTGACTTCTTTAATTCCTCTGGTGTTGGGCTTCCACAGAGCTCAATTTTCTGATGGTTCTGGGTGATCATTTTTCCAGTTTTTCTACTTTTAATTTCCCTTTGCCTTATTTCTTCACCTATCTAATTTTAATTTTTCGGCCTCAGCTGTATTTTTGGATTACCGCCAATCCTTTGTGGGATGATGTCAGGCATAACTGAAAGATCAAACAAGCAAAGAAAGCAACAAGTAAGCAGGCAGACAAAGAAATGAACTGATGACAAAATGTGGCAGTGGGAGGAGCTGTGAGCTGGCTGTTGGGGGCTGCAACCCCTCACAGCTCCTTTTTCTGGGCCTTGCTGCCTCTTTCCCCTGCTGTAAGTTAGTTTGGGACTGATTGGCCTTGAAGTCCTTCCAAGGATGACCTTCCAAGGCCCCAGGCCTGGTATGAGTCCAGGGATGGAGAGATGGGACTATCTAAAAGTCGCCTTCCAGTATCATGGCTCCTGAGGCATCCGTGCTCTGTGCTGATCACCCAACTCCCAGTCCCTTAGCTTTATTACATGTTAAATGACATGTACAGGAGAAAGTGATTATAACGATTTCTACATATGTAATTATATTTACCTGGCTACAAACCTCTGTGAGCCGATCTCCGGTCCTTTGTCGTGAACACCCCCAAAGATATGTTTGTGCATGAAAGAGGCTGCTCATTCCCAGACCCTAGATGGTGGCAGAGGTTCCTGCTCACGGAGGATCGCTTGTGGAACAGCAAACTACATACAAAGATCGTGACTTCTGGTGGACATAATCTGGGAAGAGGGGGGGAAAGAAAATTAAGCTCTACTGAACTTCTCTTTGGACTTGAGGACAGTGAGAGGAAATTTGTTGGAACCTTCCTCTCTGGAAATCTACAAAATGAAGATCCTACTCTTGTTGAACTGGCCACAGTCCTAACCTCCTCACTACCCAGACGTGGGTGGGGCCTCTGCAGAGAAGAGGAAAGGGGTTGTACCCCAGCAGGAGATGAGCAACAGGATTCAGTGAGGGTCTGGAGCCCTTTGTTAGGGGTCTCTGCATCTCCATTATTCTCTGCGCTGTCTCTGCATTTACCTTTGTTTTGTGGTCTCCACCTTATCTAATTCGCTGAGTTAATAATGTGATTAGAGCAAGTCTTATTAATGGTTAGCGGCAGGGGTGGAAATGAGGATTTATATAACCCTTTGTTTCCCCCAAAATATTTTAAAAAGTTCCTTATAGTCTAGGCACACACTGTTCAAGCTCAATTAGCTTCAATTCTATTAAGACTTCTTTTGTTGAGTTCTATGTTATTTCCCTAATCAATCCAAATGAATTCTTACCTAGTAAAAAAAAATAAGAGAAAAAATTTACTTGAGCTTGTGAGAGTGGATCTTTGTTCTTATATCAAAAACAGCAAAAGTCAATAAGTTGGGATTAAAGTTGATGGAAGAGTCAGGGGCTCACAGATGGCACTGGCCATAGACTCGCTGACTATAAAAATTCGCAGGGGACCTTTTGGGGACCACAGACAATCCTGTTGGTTCCAAATGACACCTGGTGCTTGGGGGTTAAGTCCAGTACCATTAGTATTGTGGAAAGTCCATTAACATTCCAAATCTAATGATTACAACATCTGTTGCCAGCACTCCCAAAGAAAATAAGATCGCTATTCAAAGAGCAGCTGGGTCGGGGAAGATGGGGGGGAGGGGGGCAGTTGGGCGGGTCAGCATAGGCTGGGGTTGAGTGCCCTCTACCGTCCC